CTTTTTTCTAAATCTAATTAGCATTCAAAATTCTGAGAATACGAAGGAGCGGCGGTGAGAAAACAAAAGAGAAAGAAGAAGAAGAAGCTGTATTTATTCTCAGTTTCTTCTTCTTCTTCTTCCGAGTGTGTAAGGTCTATCTCAGAGGTCCCGAATGTCGCAATTATATGTCCACATTTCTTCAGAGAAGAAGAAGAAGAGACTTTGATTTCTTACACACAATTTACGTTAATTCCCAAAGCTTTTTGATCTACTTCTCCAAAAAATATCCAAGAAGAGGAAATGACATCTGAATGTGACGAAAACTTGTTTACCAAAACCTATTTTTACGTTTTCTTCTTCTTCCTTCTCAGTTATTATCTCTGAAGGAATAACATTTTCGCTTCGAAAATTTTTCGACTAACTTGCGTCAAATACCTGATCAATCTGTTTTTGGGAGAGAGATGGAATTTAGTCTTCGCATGAATGACATATAAATTTTTGAAATATTCAATGGTCCAGTTTTTCATCATTATCATAAATTGCTTGGTATTGAATTACAGACTTTTTAAAACAAACCGGATTGATTTTTTTAAAGATGGTGTACGATGAAAATTTAGCTCCGCGCCACTTCGAAACCAGTCATTTCAACACCGGTCATTTCGAAACAGCAGTAATACAGGCGCCTGGACGCATTTCGGACTACAAAAACGATTTTAAGGTTTTCAAACCTACTCTTTCGGATGGAACACATTCCAAAACTCAAAAAATTCAAAAAATTTGTTTTTCAAAAGTTAAAATTTGGATTTTTCCGAGTTTTGGAATGTGTTCTATCAGAAAGAGCATATGCAAAACCCCGAAAGCGTTTTATAGTTGAATTTTACCCATTCGCCTGTATTACTACCGTTTCGAAATAACCGGTTTTGAAATGACTGGTTTCAAAGTGTCGCAGTTTCGAAGTGACCTTTTTTCAGATTTTTTGAATAGTTGTTCAAGGTTTTTGCTAATTTTTCTTTCAGAATATCTCGAAAAATATGAAAGAAGGATTTTTTCTTCTTTTTTTTACTGTGAATCTGAATGATTTTCTTCTCAAAATAAAGCAAAGCACATCATCGTTAACTATAAAATTTTTTGTTTTACATATATCAGAATTTATGTAATCAATCCGAATTCAATTTTTTTTTCTGGAAATTCTATAGAGCCATACATCTAAGCTCCATTGACGTTCGCGGACATTTCTATTTTCTCATTAAATCCCTTATCTGATCCTTTATTTTATTCTATACAGAAAGTATATTTGCCCATCCTACGATCCCTGAGCCATTTATCTGATTTCCGAGTTTCTTTCTAATTCGATTAGTGTTTTTCTATTTTGCAACGACTTCCGATTGTTCTATAGATGAACTCAACATGTTCCTGAAATGAGAATCAACTAGAAACAAAATCAAGTTGACCTCTAATCCTTGTTGCTTTCTTTTTCGTACTTGACAGAATCACGTCTCTTTTTCTTCCCAGATCAACCACTTTCTGTGCTCTCCTATCCGTTTACATGTGTTCCTCTTCTCCTTTCTCTTCTTCTTCTTTTTCTTCCACCCTCATTTCTGTTTCGTTCACTCCAATCGATCAGATCATCTGTTCATCCGCATTTTTTTCTCCATCAGGTGAGAGTGTGCTCAATTGGAAAGAACGAGAGAGAAAGAGCACACGTGATGATAACGAGTAGGGTGGAATTGAGGGAAAAAGTAAGAGAAGAAGAAGAAGAAGTGTGTTTGTTTTCTTCTTCTTCTTTTCCTTTCTTTTCCCCTCAACAACAGTGAGAATGACTGCTTTTCTTACTTTTCCAGCACGTATTGTTGATAGACAACATTAGAAAAAGAATTGGTAGTTGAATGAAAAAAAATAGTAGTATGTGGAAGGAGAAGGATTACGAATTGATGGGCTCTGGGCTCCAACCACCATCACCATCATAATCTAATCCTTCTTTTTTCTTCGCTTTTTCCCCCGGATTTCCTCTAGTTATGTCTTCTTTTTTCTCGCGTCTGGTTTTTGTGTTATCGTTAGTCTAGCTTTCAGTACATGCTTTCTTTTTTCCCCAGAATTCCAGAAAATGCTAGTGATATTATGATAAACATTTTGTTAGTTGACAACTTTTCATATCTTTGACGGGAACTCAGAAAAAACGGCTCAACGTTAAAAACTAGCGGAGCCTTCTATTAGAGGTTTTACGGTATGTTTTTTTTTTGACAGGGGACCCTTCTATTACAGGGGGCCCTTTTTCCAAACCCCTTTCGGTGGTCCCTTCTATTAGAGAGTCCCTCTATTAAATGGGCCCTTCTAATACAGGTTTCACGGTAATTTTCTTCAAAAAGGAAAAATAATTTTCTAGGTAAAAATAAAACCATATGATCTGGGTTTGAATAAAAAATATTTGGCAACATTTCTCCTATATTTCTAAATGTAAATCTGTATAGAAACTCAATATTAATTAATTTATACCAGTCGATTTCCGCCGCCTGTCGGCGGCTACAATATCCTGGCTTCACTAAAAACGTTTGAATCTCCAAATCGGAGAGAATCAGAAGAGGAAGTTTTAGTTGATTGTGTTGTCAACTTTCATAAACTGGAGTGACAGTCTGCTTATGCGCCTTCGGGGCTAAACCTTCTGGCTCCCGCTTACAACAGCCTTAATCGATTGAGTTTGGGCTTGGACAGATAAATCAGAAATGTAGATCAGAAATGTGTCTTAGTTGATACACGAACTGTTCAAAATTTCCAAATTTTTAGAACTAATAATTTTCCTGAATTCCCGAATATCTTGAAATTTGACAACTTATAATTTTTCAGAAGTATCGAAATTCAGGAGTCCTGAATTTTCGGAACTGCGATTCTAGAACTCAAAGATTTTTCTTTTAAAATACTTCATTTCAGAACTCATAATTTCTGAAATTTCGTATTTTCGAGTTTCCGTATTTCCGACTTTCTGAGATTCTACTTCACAAACTCTCAAAATTAAAAATTTTAACACGAATCAGATTTTCAGAATTTTCTCTAAAACACATTTCTGAGTTTTTGATTCACAAAGTTTATGAATTTCCGAATTTTCTAAATTCCGAACTTGGGCTTTCTGATATTCTGAACTTCTGATTGTGAGTTTCTGGTTTTTCTGGTTTTTTGCTTTCGAGATTTTGGATTTTCAAAATTTCGAGTGTTCTAACTTTCAAATTTTTTAATTTCGTAATATTCTGAATATCTGAATTTTTTTTCCGAACGATTGGACATTTGAATTCTCTGATTTTCAAACTTCAAAATTTCCGAAGTTTCAAATCTCGGTATTTTCGAGTTCCCGTTTTCCCAATTTTCCGAATTTCTAAATTAGAATTTTAGAATTTCAGAGTGAAACCAAAATGTTTGACGCATGGAATGGTTAGAAATTTCGCATTTTCGAAAAAAAAAATCAAATTTCGTGAATCAGAATCTCCGAAATTCAGTTTTTGAGAAGTTAGGGGATTCAGAAAGACAGAATTTTAAAGTTTACTGCACTTTTTTTTCTCTCTTCTTTCAAAACTAAGACTAAATAATTATTTTCACAAAACCATTTTTTTATCAGATATAGTGTGAATACGAAAAAATAGAGGGGTAGGACGGAAGTGACGTGAAAATAATTTTCTAAAGAGTTGCACTGTAGGAATGGAGTAACGTCTCCAGATGACGTCAGAAACAACATTTCAAAATGAAAAATAGACGGGCAACATCTCGCTGCTATTTCTGATTATCTGGGAAAATTTGAGAATTTTTGGTCTACTGGGGACTTCGCTAGGGTCGTGGAACCGGGAACAAACCGACACACAGGCAGAATTTGGTGATTGTTAATAGTAAAGATAAATTGGAATGCTTCTGAAAGTCATAGCGTCCGATGATCCACCCAATTGATCAACACAAATAGTTGCAAAAAACCAAAAATCAATATTTTTGTCTCAATAAAACTAAACTTTCACTAAGCACGTGTATTGAAAAATCAGTCAACACCCGCACACCCTCTCTGTTTCTCTGTTACTCCTTTTTTTTCGTAAAAATATGGACTGACCATGTGATACAATGATCTGACTGATATCATGAAATTCTGTTTCAAATTGTATTTTAAATAGTTTCTACGAAAGAATCGAGAACTCTTGTTCCTTCCTTTTTTTTGAATTCTGAACTCTCCCTGTTTTTTTTTCCGGTTGTTTACGCAGCTGTCAGGCGCCAACCACCGACCTTCCTATTCATTTACGAACAACAGAAAAAACTATTTTTGCAATTTTAAATAGTTTGGAGACTTTGCAGCTGATCAATTTCAAACAAAAAATTGGTTCCAAAATAGAATAATTTCAAAAGTTCCCAAAAAGTGCAAAAACTAGGAAAAGTTATGGTGTCATGGGAATTCTGAATGAATTCGACATACTGTCCCTTTAGAAATGATCGATGTGTGCTCTGTTGAGAATTCAAGAAGAGCATAACTTCCTTGAAAAAAGTGATTCTCGTATTTTCTGCCTCTATAGTTTTGAGGACTAACTCTCCAGAAACAAGATTTTGCGTTTTGTGACACAAATTTCCTAATCACTCAAACATTTTCCTACAAAAATTACCAAAAATTTAGTTTCTACAATGACTTTGAGGCAAGATACGGTCATTTAAAGTTTTAGCAAGAGTGACGCAGAGAAACGAGACACACTGCGTCTCTAACCCAAAACCTAATGACCATAACTCGGCTCAAAATTGTCTTAGAAATTATATTTTTCTCGGATCTTGTTATGTTCTCTGTTCTCCATAAATATAATTTACAAAAAAACCAAAGTTTGAAATTCTTCTGGCCTATTGAATCTGGTACTATGTCTCATACTTTTCTATCCAAATACCTATCGACCAACCCATTTCCCCCAGAGAGACCATTTCATGATCATTTTTTGTCATCAGCCGCTAAGTACTCTTTTTTGGGTTTAGTTTCCTTTTCGAACTGTTTTGTTTCAGAATAACTGAAAACAATGTGGTTTCTACGCAGTAAAGTGTTCGGAGGATCAGGAGATCAGGAAAGGGACCGTGGTGAGTTTTATTAGATTAAAAGGAGACTCCGACCAATAAAAAAGTTGGATTTTTGCATTAAAATGTATTCTCATTAATATTACTTCGAAAAAAATAAAATCCCTGAAAATCCCCGAAAAAAAACTTTGAAGATCCCTGAAAACCAAGAGGGTCGTGGGAATTCTAGTTCATATAGAAAAATTCGGTCAGAGTCCCTCTTGATGAAAATTCAAAAGTGAAGGCCAAAACACACTAAAGTAGAAATCATCAGAAAATTATCAAACTATTAACCATTTCGAAACAAACATTAATCTTTACAATCTGCTTGAAGCAACGAAGAACATGTTTGGTGCTTCTTTTTTTTTCTGTCACAAGCATTTTTAGGGAGACAGAACAATTCAGAAACAATGATAGAAAGTTGATAACAAAAAAAAAGAATAACAAAAAGGAAAATAAAAACATGATTCTTCTGTTTTTTCAGACGACGAAGATGCACCGAGACGAATTATGGATGCATTGAGTTATAGAAGACCAGTAAGTGATAACCTTCATCGGGTACACCTAGTTCATTTGTGCTTTTCCATGAAATGTGGTTATCATGTCATTGAAAAAAGGACACAAACTCTTCCATCTTTTTTATCTCGTTTCTCTAATTCTTCAGTAAAAAAGTGGAGTGAGAGATGGAGATTGACGGAGGCACGTAGTTGCTTTTTTGCCACTGTAATTATTATTACCCATCTACTTAATTTGTTGTTTTTTAGAGAAAATATGTAGTGTTGAGAGAATAGGTAGTGTATGTTATTGGCATGATTCTACCGGTGTTATTTCCAGTAGGTAGATCATGCTTTCCTATTCTAAAACTTTTATTCATTTTAAGAACTTTTTTCGATTCAACCTTCTAATAGAGCGCCACCCTTTACAAGCTCTTTGAGCCAATTTATCACATTTCTTGTGAAAGATATGAAAATTTTGTTAACTGATAAAATGTCACTGATATTATGACAAACATTTTTTTAGTCTGCAGTTTTTTCATATCTCCCATTGCAACCGAGATAGTTGAGCCCGTATTTTTTATTTTATCCAGCCTTTGAAGTTCCACATTCCTGCTTCCAGGGAACATCTGGGAAAATACTGATGTTTGAATTCATGTTCGCTTCCAAATATTGCGTAACAGAAAGCCAGATACCGCAAGTCGCCTTTTCCCTTTCATCTCGGTGACCTTATACCTCTTATCGCCTTTCTATATTGTTCCCACGAATTGGCAGCTTCTAGCATTCTAAAAAAAGAACAAGGTTCTGGACTTTTTCTTGAGTCGAACGCTTCCAAACAGGCTCCTTCAAGTATTAAAAGTTACGGTATTTCCACAATCTGTAAGTCAATTTCCATAACCTAGACAATCAGAAAATTTAAAATCAAAGGGTCAGCTGCTACACTTGATATCTAATGAATGATAACACAGTTTTGCAACTATCTAGTAGATACAAAGCAATTACGTTGATGTGGTCACTTCTGATTATTTATCACAACGAAAAAAAGGGAAATGGCTATTTTTCAATTCAGCTGAGACACAAATGATTCTTTGTCGGCACGATGATGTGAGTAGTGTAATATAACAAAGAGACAGTAATGAGAAAAAAGTTAACAAAGAGAAGAAGACGTGAAAGAGTAGAAGTAGGAAGAGAAAATTTCGATAAATTGGGAATGGCTTCTGAAAACCCCCGAGAAACCGGTTACTTTCTCCCCACTACCACTCTTCTTCATTTTTTCAGAACCATTTTTTATTCGTTGCCCTTCAAAAATAGAGTTTTGTAGGAAAAACAAAATGTGGAAGCAGCCTTCTGATAGACACTTTTAAGATAGAAATTTAAAAAAATGACAGTTCAACAAAGAGAGTGATAATGGACAGTAGAGATAGAGAAAAAAGAAGCCATAAATAATGATCAGAGGTCGATGTCTTCTTTTTGCTTAGTCGTCAACTTTTTATTTCTGTCCGGTTGCCATTCGGCGCTTCTTGAACATCTTCTTTGATGTCTAAAAATAGCATGATTGTAAGCCGGGCTCTGCCATAGTTCCTTTTAGAATCAAAATTTTAAAACCATATGATAGAACTTGACACGTACTACAAAACGATACAAACTGGAAAGCAGTATCTTGTCTATGAACAAAATTAGGAGCCAAAAACCGTCTGAGCTACACGTTCACAGCGTTTTGGCTTATAACTAGGTTCATAGACAAAAACAGTTTTCCAAATAGTATCATTTTGTAGTACTCGTTGTGTTCAATCACATCTTATTTGGTTGACACAAAAAAAATAGTTCTGATGGGAACTATGGCAGGGGCCAAAAAGGAGCTCCAGGTCCCATTTCACAAGTGTGAAAAATAGACAATTTTTAAGAATTTTGGGTAACTGTATAGCTATCACTTTCAGCCCAAACATCCAGGATGCTATTGAAATTTTTGGTTTGAAAAGTACAGTAATACTTTCCAGGTGCAATTACCTTGTAGTGATGATCCAATCATTAAGAAAATGATTATATATGTATTAGAATTATGTTTTCAACTTTGTAGTCTCTCCTTTTGTCATCTATTTCAAAACATAAATACTCAAGGTTCTTCGTTCCATTAGAACCTCTCTAACCAGCGAACACCTCAACAAGCTTCCTGTCTTCTCCTTCTCCATTCAAAAAAAAAAGAAAGGTCGTGCCAAAAAGTGGAAGCTGTTTCCCTTCGATGCCCCCTTATGACCTTCTTCGTCAACTACGTCTCCTTCTCTTCAACCTCATCGTCCTTTGATTCTTTTTCCAGCCATGATGATGATGATTGTTACAAAAAAGAATAGTAGCAGCTTGTCTCCCATTTTTCTCTTTTTCGGGTCTCGAAAAGAAGGTCGGGTCGTCTCTTGGGGGCGCTTCGAAACGTTCAAATGTCAACACTGTTTGCTCGTTTTCCGCACTTGCTCTTTCTGTCTGTTCAATCACTTCCTCATTTTCTCTGAATCTCTCTGATTTTTATGAATTTTCTCATCTCATCGCGTTTTTTATTCCGCGCGGAAAAGGGCGCAGAAGGTGGCACAAGCACGGAGGGAGCAATGCGAGAAAACGTGCTCGCTGACTCATTTCCTCCCGTTCCACTTTTTGATATTCGAGTCAGACGAAAAAGTTCTAGATCTTTTGATTCCAAATCATTCGAAAATCAGTCATATCCTCCCAGATCTTACCTCGTTGATACCAATTTTCGCGTACCATTTCCGTATATCCTCTAAGGGTAGCCTGCAACTTTGAGCTCAAGTATCTCAATTTCCGTTAAAGATATTAAAAGTGTGTCAACTGATAAAATATTTGTTATTTTATGATAAACAATTTACTAGCTGAAAATTCTCCTATTTTTCAAATTTCGGGATCTTCTATTTTTCAAATTTCGCTTCCAAGTTTACATAGTTATCTCCTGAAATGTTCAAGCTACCGTATTTCCTCTAATAGGAGCCTTGTCAACTTTAAGCTCAATTATCTCGTATTCCAGTGAAAGATATTAAAAACTTGTCAACTGATAAAATATTGATGGTGTTATGATAAAAAATGTATCAGTTTACAAATGTGGTGTATCTTGCACAGGAATCGAGATAATTGAGCAAAAAGTTGGCTTATTATATAATTGACCTGATACTTCCTATTTCTGAAAAATTGCTTTCAAATATGGTTCTCTATATGAAACCATTTTTCCAACTCTTAATGTGGCTTCTTTGTCTTCCATTCATGGCTACAGTAATTTCTAATATTGATTGGATTGGCCTTGGTTCACTGTTCCTTCTTGGGCAACAATAGACAAATGACCTTTTCTGAAAACCGTCTAGACTTGGACGAAAATGCCAATGACGAAGTAGATGATCATCTGTTTTGAAGTGGTTGAAAAAATGTTCCTAGAAGTGCGAATTGGCCACACCATCGTCTTTCAATGGGATGATGATCGGTTCGGATTCTGAAAATGGTCAACGAAATGAAAACATGTGATACTTCGTCTTTCATAATTTTCTTTTTTTTCGGTTGAATCATACAGATCGAACAGAACGATTCACCCAAGAATTGTTTTTGTTTTTGTTGTTGTTCACATCCGATGGATAGGTTCCTCTTGATGCGAGAGGACAATGATCAATTTGCAAACAAAAACAACAACACAAAAAATCAGTATTGCACAGATGGATCATTCCTATCCGTTTAGCTTCGGTCTGTCCTTGACAGCACGTGCGTCACGTGCCACCTCTCTATCCCCACAGAACATAGATATTAGTGACTAGAAAAAATGAAATTTCTCTTTTCATCAACGAACAACTTCCTCTTGGGTTCTCTCAATTACGTGCCTATTTCCGTTATTTACCTTGTTTGATCTGATTCAATCGGTTTTTTCTTTCTTTTTGCCGAATTTTTTGAATATTTTTTTAACTGGAGATTACTGTAGAAAACGTCCAATTATAACTGCCGTAATCCAAAGAGGACTTATAAGTAACAAATGCTGCCGTACTTCCTCTAATAGAAGCCCACCCAAACCGTCAACTTTGAGCTCAATTATCTCGATTCCTGTGAAAGATATCAAAAATGTTCCAACTGATAAAATATTGGTGATATTTTGATATAAAATTTATCAGTGGCACATTTTTGTAAACTTCTACAGGAATTGAGATAATAGAGCTCAAAGACGACGGTTTGGGTGAGCTTCTATAAAAGGAAATACGGTAAAAGAATTTCGAAATCTTCAGTAAATCAACCTCTCACTGATCAGGGCAGTGAGAGATAGACAAAGTTATATTATATTTCTCACTCTTCACAACCTAGCAACCCATATTTCTTCTAATTGAGCACCTGGAGTATTTCAAAGTGTAATGACCCATTTTGTGTTTTTTTCGAGGTTTGTGGCCACTCGTTTTCTTTTTCAATGTCTTCAAACTGTCACATTTTTCTTCTTCTACCTTACTTTTTTCTTCTAACAAACCGCTGTGTGTGTGGTTGTGTATCACATTTTTGCCGCTTTCGAGATGAGAGTTCGGGACGGAAAAGTAGTAGTATTTGCCAACCGAACACCATGTATTTATTTACCTCCACACATTTTCACCCCCTTATACCTTCACCTTCTTTCTTTTCGTTTAACTCTAAAATACCAGTTAGTATTCTTATGACCGTTCTTTTTTCACCTTCTCGTTGAAATATGATATCCAAACACTCCAAATTCAAATACCTAATTGAAAACAATCTGCAAAAAAATACCGAGAGGCTTCTACCGTATCTCTTATCTCGAAGCTAGTAAATTCAAAAGTCTGGAAATTTTTATCATCATGATTCTCTCTTTTTGAAGTCCTTTTCTTTTACTTTTCATCAAAGTTCTTCTGACCTTTTTGCGATTGAAAGTTTATCAACAGTACATCGATAACTAATCGAATTACATCTTTATTTTTTCTTGCAGCGAGCGGACAGTTCTATGATGGGAGCTCGACAATCGACGACGTCACATCATGACACTTTCCAAGGTGAGTTTTTTTTTCAAAATTATAGTTCGATTTAAAGCAAAAATAAATTTAAAAATATGAAAAAAATGCCTGAAACTTCAACCCAACCAAAAGTTGAATAAGAATTCAATTCAAATTGTGCACATGAAAATCAGCCAATTCGGCTCCACTGCCCATTACTTCAAATGATAAGCTAGTTCGAACTGTATGATAAGACACGACCCTCACATTTAAATTGAATACGTGCCTTTTCCGTCTATTCGAATTCTCTCAAAGAACACACCAAGCAGAAACAACGAGAAAAAAAAACAGTTTATTGGTTCAAGATGAAGGGTTTGCTGGGGTTTTGGAGTAGCAGTTTGTACTGTTCGTCGAAGGATTGAAGACAGGATGATCTGTACTTTTGGCAAACTTGTTTGTAGCCTTTTTTGAATCTTTTAAGCTGTTCGCTACGAATTCAAATTTTCCTGCTTGAATATAACTTCGGTAATCAATCAACTAATTTACTCCGATTTTATTGTAAGCAACGACCTTTCATTAGTGTATTTAAACCAAATTTCGAATAAGAAGGCGGGGCTTTACTGTTAGATGAATATCTGCGAAAGCGTTTTCGTTTTCTGCCCGATTCATTTTCATTGTACTTCTCTTGCACTATTAGCCAAATATTTGGAAAATTTATCAGCTGTTTTCATTTTCTTCAATTCTTCAACTTCGTTTTTGCAATTTTTGAGTGCGCGCGCGAATAATGTAAGAAGTGTTCACGACCATGCACACCATATTTTACGACACATATTTTTGTTTTTCTGTTCTCGACTTGAGAATCTCGAGCATTTTTTCGATTTGATATGCGCTTTAACTTTTTTTCCATTTCATGTAGAATTTATCCCAGACTAGACATCAATTTTCATTCCTCTCTGTTGTCCCTCCAATTCCTGTCAATTTTGTATGCCATTTGAACACACAGACACTAACCAGTCGTTCACTCCGATTCCGATGAAATTGTCAAAATGAAAGGCAGAACAAAGAGAAAAGAAGGTCGAATTTATTGGCAGGCAATTTCTTTGTTCCCGTAGCTCTAGAATATTGTTTCAAAAATTATGAAACTAGGAGTCTTCCAAAAGATTCTCATTCAAAGTTTCAAGAAAACTTTATTTTGTTGATCTATGGTTGATCTGCTTCCGATCTGTCTATTTGATCCGTTGTTACGATTAAATCTCTCCGATATGATCATTAGACAAATGATCGCTGTTATATTTTTTAAATGTTTCTGAGAATGGCAGTATGCCAACACGACCTATTCTATCCACTCAATAAAGCTCAGAGCTCTTCCTTTGCTGTCTTTTTTTGCCAAAAACTCTCTTATTGTGTCATGTGCTATTGCTACCCAGAGAAAGAAGAAGCCGTTGTCTTGTTCCCTCATCTTCTTCTTTCTCTTACTTCTTTTGACTTATGGAAGAGCCCTTTTCTTCACTTTCAGTATACTTTCACTCTTTGAGATTCTATCTTCTTGTTTCATTTCAAATTTTAACTCCATCTCTACTGTACACCATTAGAGACAACCTGTTTTTCTTTCTATGTGACTTAGATGATCGTATTATTTACAAAAAAAGTTAAAGGAGTGGCGACCTTGAGTCTCTCTCTCGTCTTCTCGATTTTGACCAGTAAAACTGAAACACGAAAACACATTTTTGAAATTAGTTTTTTTTTTTCATATTTTCAGAATCGAATTTTCAAAGGGAAAAGATTAGATGATCAGACAAAAAAAGGAGGAAAATATTGTGTTATCACCCTTTGACTAAAACGGATAACCGGTCTCTTCTTCACGGGTTGCGCGCATAAGCCTCTCTAGACCCCATCCCGCAACTTTAATACGTGCTAATAGTGGTCGAATGTTTTCGCTTCATGTTTTTTTTTCGTCGGAGGCAATGATCTCTATTGTGTCACCTATGAATCTGCCTTTTTTGTAATGAGAATTTTTGAGAGTTTAAAATATTTTCAGTACTAGATTTACATTTTTAAAAAAGAGGGAAAATTTTTATTGGACATCTAAATCCTCGCCCCATTTCACATTTTTCACTATGTTTTTGTCTTTTTTCTTTGTTCGGCACCAGACGAAAGAATGTTTTTGAGGGGGTAACAACCCCTTCCAACCACACGCAATGCATTTTACATATAACGCCGCGCACCCTCTCCGGACTCTTTTTCTCTTCTTCTTCTTCTTACTTTTATTAGTGTCGGTGTGTTGGAAAGCTCACAAGATTACTTTTAAGAAGCTCACCTTATATGTGCACTTTGAGCTCAATTATCTCGGTTCCTGTGAAATATAGCAGAAATCTGTCAGCTGATAAAATATGGGTGATGTTATGAAAAACATTTCATCAGTTGACAAATGTTTGATACCTCTCCTAGGAATTGAGATAATTGGGCTTCTATTGGAAAAAATTTACAGTGGTATTATTTACGAATTATTAGATATTAAATTATGAAATCGGATATGATAAACAAGACTAGTTCCTGACTTCCTTCTAGGCATTGTTGTAATGCCATCCTTGAACACGAGAACTCGTTCCATAAACACCTAACTTTTAATTAAGGTGCATAAAAACCGAGAACGTTGTATTCCTAACAGGTTTCCTCTTCTCTCAATTTCCCCACAAAAGTAGTAGTTTTCTCAAAACTTTCTAAATACTATTTCGAAAGGATAGTTGTTGATTTTGTGCTTCTTCTAATCGGAGTAGTCTTGCGACTCAGAAATAGATGCAAGCGTATATTTCGGCAGTTGTGGCTTCAAAAAAAGAATTGTGCGCGAGAGAGATTGGTGTGTAATAAGGTTGAAAGACGAAATTGAAAAAGCGAGGGGTTGAGGGTTACGTACAGTTTAAACATACATTGGGAAGAGAGGAGATATAGATAGAAAAGAGTCGATCGAGACGAGAAAGTTCGCCCTCTCTGATGATGGAGGAACTGGTTTCCTTCTACTCCCTCGAATGAGTGTCTCTGCCATTCAATTTCACCTCTTACAACCTTCAACCTCTCTCTTTTGATTTTTCTTTTTTCTCTCCTCAAGAAGGGCCTAGATCAGTTACTTGTAATAAGAAATATGCCATCGGAAACTACTCATCACATGATGATCGTCGTCTCGCATCTGTTCGGTACAGTCACAGTTTCATCTTCCTCGCCAACATCATCAGATGTCAGAAGAAGCGGTCAGTTACACATAGTGGGGTTGTGAAGAAGACGTGTCGTTTTTTAAACTATTTTCGAGACCTAATCACGTGTTTACGGTATAGCAACCACCTTCCCTGTCTCTCTCAACCCAAAATCACCAGTCCGAATCATTTTTATTGTCCAATTCCACTTGCTTGATTATCAAATCTTAATCGATTCATTTTTAACAAATGAAAACAACAAGATTTTCTTTCTCATCTTCTTTCCTCCTTTAGTCTATTTTTCCTTCCTCATTATGTAAGTAGCTAGGAGTGAAATGATGAGAGATGAAATAAAAGGGAAATATGAAAATATATTTTATTCTGGGAGAGTGCGCGCGCGGATTAGGGACTGGGATTAGGCTATCATATTGCATAAGAACCAACATGAGTCCTTTTTTCCCATTTTATAGAGTGCTACATATCTGACTTTCAAGAAGTGATAAAAGTATTTCAATCCGATTAGAATCACGGCGAGATTCCGAGAACCTTCAGCCTCCGGTGTTTGCACTAGAACCTCCCCTATCTCTATACTTCCGATATCATACTGACTCACACGTATATCTAGCGTGTAACTGTCATCTCCTCTTCCCTCCTACGCGAGAGATCCCATCCATTTTTTACTGAAGCTCATTGGCGCCCTCTGCGTGCTCCTTTTGAACAGTCCTCCCTCTCACCCCTCACTTACTCCACTTGATCTTCCCAATATACACTACTGAATGACATAGCAAAAAGGTAGAAAAGAGACAAACTCTCGCCTCTTCTCACTACTACTCTTCTTCCTTTTTCTCCCCCCGCCTGCACGCATTCCGCGCTTTTGTCTCGTTTTCCTCTCTCTTTTTGTTAGTTTGTTCGTTTGATATACACAACAATACCAATATGACGACGAAAGGCTGGTTGAAACTTTTGGAATTTTTCTCTCGCTTTTGAAAAATCAATTTTGAAGAATTTTGAAGATTTTCTCGTTCCTTCGTGACTATTGGTTGGAATTTTTCTACACCACCAAACGACGCCGATAAAAATTACATCTGGCTAGTAATTCAAAAATTCGAGTATTCTGAGATCCCGCAAATTTTCAGAATTTCTGGAATTCTAAAAATTCTGATATCCGAAACATTCAGAAATTTGTAAAATTCGAACATTTGTAAATTTAGATTTTGGGATTTCTGAATTCATAAATGTTCGAATTTTCAAATTTCAGAGATTTTCGAAATTTCAGAATTTCAAAAATTGAATTTCATGTAATCGAATTTTTAGAATTATGAATTCTTAAATTTCTGGAATTCTAAATTTTCAATTTCCGAAATTCTGTATTTCGGGAATCTCGTCAGGTCAAAAAATTCGGAAATCCGAAAATCTCTAAAATTTGAAAATTTAGAATTTTCGAGTTTTATTTTTTAAATTCAGAAATTCAGAGTTTTCGGAAACTTGAAATTTAAACTTTTTCAATTCAGAAATTTCGAAAAACTGAAAAATTCAGAATTCTCAGAAATTTGAGAATTCGACAATTTATAAATTCAGAAACCCCAATAGTCGGAAATCAAAAAATTTAGAGGTTCAAAAATTCCGAAATTTGAAATTCAGAAATGCAGAATTCTAGAAATTCTAAAAATTCATAAATTCAAAAATGTATAGATTCAGAAACCCCGAAATTTAGAAATTTGGATACTTTAAAAATTTGAAATTCAGAATTTTAGAAATTCAGGAATGCTACAAACTCAGAAATTGGAAAATCTCTGAAATTTGAAAATTCGAAAACTTATGAATTTTTCTATTATTGGTTTGAATCGATATATTCATTGTTTGACATATAGATGAATTCAGATTGTACTATGTGTAGACTGTCCTCCTGTACTCCCTATTTTTGGCTCATTTCTGCCGTCTGCGTCTCTGCGCTATCCCTCAATCAATCATAATCCTCCTCCTCTGTTCACATTACTGCACAAGGTTAATTTGGTAAATTCTAAATTTTTCCCGATAAGTTTTTAGCAGTAGTTATTGATTTAGTTCTCTGCAAAAAAACCTTTCGAAGGTTTAGTTGTTTCACCAGTGACTACTGTTTAAAATAAACTCTTCCCCGTTCTTTCTCCTATTATTAGCTCTTCCTTTTCTTATATGTCTTAACATTTCTCTATCTCTGGACCGTCTATTTTTAAAAAATAAGTTTCGTTGTGTGCAGGGATTCCAAAACCAAATAAATGATGGACGATGAGTCCGACATCTACTCAAACTACGAGAGCCACCAAGAAGCATCCGAAGAGGACGAATATGATGTTATGATGAGTGATGAATCAACCGATAGCGTATACTCGGAACCTCCGGTCCTCGTGGCCCAAGTTTATCACGATGAGACAGTATCCAGTGGCACCGATGAGAGTAGTTTTTCTTCTTCGAGTGATACTGAAATGGAGACGCTCGCCGAGCTCGGATCAGGTAAAATTAAACATTTTTTGCTTTTAATCGGAAGTTGACCCAAATCTATACGTTCCGGTAGAACTATTCTACAATGATATTTGTAAACTTCGGAAAAAAATTTTGAAATCGAACTGTCTAGACCTTCCTCTAGAACTGATAATACATTGCCTGAGTTGACAAATATGTTTACCAACAAAAGTTGTTGTGCCAGCAGTTTATGTAGCTGTTGGTGCTAGCTAACAGTCCCTATTTCCTCTCTCCCACTCATTTTCCATACACACACACATTTTCTTGCTTTTAGGAATTGGGAGAGAGAAACGAGAGTGGAAAAGACTGTAAAGCCCGGTCCTCCTCTCTCTATTCCTCGGTTCTCTTCTGTATTGGAATCGGCAGCTAGTCCTTCTTCAATCATCCTCCACCTCCGATTGCCTATTCATCTTCATCTTTCCGCATCTCTAGCGCCGCGCGCCTTCGAGAAAGCGAAACGAGAAAGTGCGCAAGGGCTTGCGCGAGGAAGGCTTTCTTCTATTCTCCTTATTCTGGCTAGCTGCTGCCGCTTACGCCCCGCCGACGGTTGGACGATCAAGCTGACGAAAATCGTTGGCAACAAGCAATCGTATTGATCGGTCATTCATCTTCCAGAGACTCACAGAGATCTTAAACTAAATCTTTATTCTATTCTCTTACTGCTTGTGACTGTCTCCGACAGATCCTAACAATTCTGGGTCACTAGGAAACTTTCACCTTCGTCAACCCACCACACACTTTCTTGTGTATCTCTATTCTATTCCTCTACTATTCCTTACTTTTCTATTCAACTTTTCGAAGTTTTTCTTTCGAAATGAGCAGTGACTCCTCTTCTGATATTCGAAAAAGGCTAGAGAGTCTCAGACCTCGAAGAAAAGAAGGCCTCGAACTTTTTCAATGCTCTTCTAATTTCAAAACTCATCCATTAAATTCGTCATCCTATCAACCTTCAAGTCCACATCCAAATCCACTTAAACGGTGCCAGCAAGAGAATCTGCCAAAATGCGAACAGAAGCGCAGGAGAAGCTTCGATTCGCCCTTATCAATGTCCACACCACCTCCAACGCCTTCTTCTTCCTCCTCTTTTTCCTTTAACCGTGCGTCGATTCCGATACTTCCCCATGACTTGATGGAACAACTCAGCCGAGAGCTGACTTGTAGTGTTCTAAATGCAGCAGCTGCAATATCCACAAATGCAGAAGAGTACACATATAACGTCAGCTTTATGTTACTGCAGTGCATGAACGATGGTAAATTTTTCTTTAACTTGTAATAAAAATGCAAGAGAACACCAATTCCCGTTTAGTTCCTCTGCTGTAATGTATGTCCATTGTTTTACTACATCTATATCATCCCGTATACTGTGTCCGCCGCGGTTTCCTTTATCACTGTTTATACGAAATTTCTAGTTTAAGAAACGATTTCGAGAATGTGAATTCTCGATTCCAGACCTACTAGGCGATATATATCGATGGCATCACAACACTTTGCTTGTGTTTGTGCTTCACAAACATATATTTTTTTCCGCATCACACCAAACGGCGTCAGCATGCGGAAAACAAATATCTGTTTATTTTTCCGGACATTGCATTGCGCACAAGCAGTGCTAGAGGAGCACAATGTAAAAAAAAACGGAAAAGAATAGCTTTTACTCATATGATCCCTGAAATGAACGCAACTTTGAAACATTTGGGTTAAAGTGGATGGCAGAGTATTTCGTTGAGATGGAGTTTGTCAAACAATTGAATTAAAACTAAAAAATGATAATAATTGTAATCAAGGCATCAATATATCAACCTATTAATTTCAGTGTCGCCATCATCGGAAGCATGCTCCACAAGTTCGTCAGCATATCAACGCGGTGCCAATAGTTCTCTCAATTCTTCATCATTAGCGTCGGGATCACATCATCACTCTGGCTCCTCGTCATCACGGCCTGTAACACTAACGCGTGAAAGAAAAACGTATGCAGCAGCTGCCGGAAGATCAGCGCCTATGCGCAGTTTGTCTCCAGCTCATCCGAGTGCAGTGGTCAGTTTTTAAAAAAAATATTTTATCTAGAGTTTCAAAACAAACTGTCACTGAATTGCACCGAAATGTTTTCGATAACTTATCGGTCAGAAACAAAACAACAAAAGGGTACACTATTTTTCCCTCTCATTATTCGTTCATTTGTGACGATAAGGATGGAAAAAAACGAATTGGGGATGATGGTGTGTATGTGCTGGCCGCCTGATATTGATAAGGGGAACTTGTTTTTGAGACTGAGACCCTAGCAGCATTGTCAGTATGCCTGCCTTACATGGTGGTTCTATTTTTTTCACGCCGATGAGATATCATCCATCTCATCGATTAATCAGTGCCAAGAACATTGGCATAATTTTACTCATGCCACTAATAATGCCAATTTTCAGATGAGCGGTATGGACGATCTTTTGCGGCCGGAACGATTTGACCGTATAATGCACATGTCTCCACCTGCCCAATACATTCAAGAGCAACACTCGTGGAATCCCGAAGATCGATCGTTGAATATTTTTGTTAAAGATGAAGACAAATTCACATTCCATCGTCATCCAGTCGCACAGAGCACCGATTGTATTCGTGGAAAAATAGGCTACAGTCGCGGGTTCCATGTATGGCAGATCGAGTGGCCAGAACGTCAACGAGGAACACATGCTGTTGTTGGGGTTGCGACGAAAACAGCACCATTGCACGCGACTGGTTACACGGCGTTGATAGGAACAACGAACGAAAGTTACGGATGGGATATCAGTGAGTTTTTGATCAGAAATTGTTTTGAAACATTAGATTTTTCCAGCACGACGAGAATGCCATCATGATTCAAAGAACACCATGACGTGGAGGTATCCATTCAGTAATAGCCGCGAAGTGTATCATGTTCCAGACAAGGTAAAAATTATCTTCTTAATTCAAATCTTTTTTTTTTCAAATTTTCAGTTCTACTGTATTCTGGACATGGATGAAGGATATATGGCATTCGCCACTGATGACGAATTCCTCGGAGTTGCATTCAGGAACTTGAAAGGAAAGACGTTATACCCAATAGTGGCGCCGTATGGGGACACTGCGAAATCAGCATGCGCTATCTTGGATCTCTTGAACGTGAGCTTATTTCTTTCGATTCTCCACCATCAACTCCACGACGTCAACCACTGAGACCACCACTTCCACACCACCACAGCAGTCGCTATCCCTCCCCGCCACGTTCACTTTTTCATTCGCCAGTTTATAAACCCCCGCCTAGAAGTAGACATCCTTCTGATTCCCCTGCTGCACTAAGAGCAGCCGCTGCGGAATCACCCGCTCTACCGTTCTCCCCCTTTTCCGATCTTGCAAAAATATTCTCATTTTACGACCTACAGGCTGGTGGAACATCAAGCTCTTCTAGTTCATATTCCCTTTTTGAACCACCAGCCGAATGGCAGAAATTCGACGAGGAGTGTGTTAGTAATGACTCTCCACGACGTAATCCTTCTCTAGATGTCCCACTTCTGTTGGATGAGACTCCCAGCGCATCTTCCTCACCATATCTCTATCTTCCGGCCCCACCATCAGTTAAAGCACCAAGTGAACTTTTTGGCCCGCCATTAACACCGGGTGGCTCGAAAATGCAAACTGATGAGCAAGGTCTCGGAACATCTTTTTTATAGGGGTCCTAATCAGTTTTATGAATCGATAAGAAATTAAGTAGGCAGAGAAGAATTCTAACTGGTGCATTACAAAAATGTTAATTTTGAAGCTTTTGTCGCTCGCACTTTTTTCGTACCTATGTCGTGCACCTTGGTTCAATTTGTTCGAAAGTCCCCTCTCATGAAAATTCCTAGAAACCCCCTTGTCTCAGTGGTTACACAAACACTATATTTAAACGTTTCCTTTTGATATAACGTGAATTGTTCTTGCAGCTGAGCCTCTATCATTGTCCGAATTGTGTCGACGCCGAGTACGCATTCAACTGGGACCACAACCCGAAGAAAGCATCGAAGAGCTGACGATTCCGCCGATTCTGAAACGATACCTGATGTACCAGTATTGATATCACTTGTGGCTTTTCAAATGTTTTATAATTTCTTTCGAAAGATAATTCACTTTTTGAATTCTCAAGCAGTGTGCCTTTTCTCGCTTCACCTCGTTTCTAAAAATATCTGTGAAAGTTCCCTTTTCACTGATTGTACCATTCTTTGTATAGTGCCTTTTAGCTTCTTCTCTCCCACTACGATAATTTTCTGGAAAATTTCCCATTTTTCCCATCCCCCCACTAAACGGGTTCCAACCCTCGGTTCACACATTTCGTTTCCCATTTTTTCTCTATCCCTTGTCTCATTCAGAAATTGCAAATCTCCTCGTTTTATATTGAATATTGTTATGCCTTTTCACATTTTTAACCCACTTCTTTTTCAAATTTTGCCAACTAATCTTCCCCCATGTCTTCTGATGTACATCACACTAACACCCAACGAATTCACTTGCTTTTTTCAAAATTTGTTTTTATGTTGAATCAAGAATTCATTTTCAATCAGGGGTCCAATTTTTCTCTCTCGCACTCGTTTTTCTTTCCCATCTTTCCCATCTAATTTTTGGTACGGATATGTCATTCATTTTTTTGTATTTGTCTATGAATTCACGAAGAATGTGCTATTCTAGGCTGCCGAATAAATTGCAATTTTTATCTTGTTCGTTATTGTTACACTCAAGATGAAAAAAAGTACGTTGTAACAAACGGAAACCCAATATTTCTAGTTCTCAAGACAGACGCTGCCCACACCCTTTGTGTTTGAATTTCCGCCAATGTTTCTCCCTCGTGGCCTAGAATTCCGCTCGCGGCCGTGTGTGCTTAGACGCTGGGTCTCGTCGCGAAAACTAATTTTCTGGTATTTTACAATGTTTTTTTTGCTGAAAAACGCAGAAAATATTTTCCAATAAGCTTATTTTTTGTTAAATAATTATTTTATAAATTTAGGTTGCTTGATAATGTATTAAGTTGTTTTTTCGCCTTTCCAACCTCGTTATCCTGCGCGTTTTAGGTAAAATCAAACTTTAATTTTTTTTCAGGTAAAAAAAATGGGTGGAGGAAAGTTTCGCCATCGTACCAGCAACAAGGGAGCAGCGAAATTCAATTCGGGATCGGCGTAAGTGGTGATTTCAAATATTGGTGACTGAAAAAAAGTTTCCAGATGTGAGAGCAATCCTACAAGAAGTAAGCATCGATCGGCAGCCACCGCTGCTCGAAATGCTTCTTTCGGCGGAGCTGGAATGTTGGCCGTTGAGGATCGTCCAATGAATTCTGCTGCCGACGACATGCTCTCTGCTCTTCCGATTCATTCTATGGACCTCGGCTCTTCCTCAAAAAGTATGGTGTCGGAAGGTGCTCTCTCGAAGCTTTCTGGATTCACTGCATGTACCAATCCAGCTTTTGACTCGGTCAATCGTGTCTGGAAGTGAGTTTTTCGAATATTTTTTTTTCTCTTTTTGTTTGTGATTGTAGTACTTTTTGTTTCCCGAAGCACGAGCCGTAGACTGATAGATTAAATTCTTCAGATCTGGGTCCTCTATTCAAGCAGAGGTTGTCTCGGTTTTGGCAGCAATCGCTGAAGTCATCAAAGAGCGGGATGGTATTATTCCCACGTTAAGCCTAGTATTCTAATCTAGGGATTTTCAGGTAAAGAAACGGATGTGGAGTATTGCGCGGCGTTGATGACTGCTCTCGAAGGATCATCATTGGGAAATCCGAGACGCACTGCTGCTATCGCCTACTTGCTTCATTTGATTGTGAGAAAAGTGCCGAAAGAAGTGCTTCAAGCTCAATTCCACCGATTCGTTCAGGTAAGACTAGAACTCTGTTTCGTATCATGAAAGGTTAAATTTATAGATTCTATACACCAAATTGTTGGAGAACGTGGACAGCACAGAAGGATCCGCTTTGAAAAATCTTATCTCTGTGCTTGGAATCATCCTTCGTGCTCAGCAAGCTTCCGTGTGGGCCAGCGCGAACACTAGAAACATGTTGGTTTCTGTTGCTGCTCTTGCTGCTCACGACAAACCATGGGTTCGAACTATGGCTCGTCGTGTCATTCGTGCTGTTCTCACCGATCCAGTAACTGCTACTGACAATGGACTTCACCCAGCCAGCGGTGCTGTCGGACAATTGATATTGAATCATATCGAAAACTTCCTCGGTCAGTGGTGTTTATGTGATTAAGATTTTAAAATTATCATTTTCAGCTCGATCTAATGGAGACAACACCAATGTTGTTCGTTATCTGTGTCTTCTCGAAGGAGTCATGCATAAGATGCCTGCGAACCTTTTCAAAAAGATGGCAGAAGCTATGCTCAAATGCTTTGCGATTTCCGATTCAATGGTCAAGTGTTCCTCTCTCCAGTGCCTCCATCGTGCTCTTCAACGTCAACCATGCGATTCAGCACTTCCAACAGAGACGAATGCACTTCTACTCACCGCTCTTCGTCAACTGGGTTCTTCGGTGACAGACGTAACTGTTACAGCATACTGGATGCAAGCGTTAGCGGAAGCCCACGTTTGTTTAACTGCAAAGGATTCGAAGAAATCTGTTCAACAAGCTTTCCAAACTCTTCCGTTGTTCGTCAAAATTTTCGAATCTGGAAACGAGCAACTCGCTCAAGTTACTTATCAATCTCTGACGCGTGTCATCGAAAACTGTATACAAGATGATGCAGACTGTGGAAAATTCCTGCTCTCACAACTGCATGCTGCGATGACGATGAAATCAGCTTCGGTCTGGAAATTCATACTTAGAGCGCAGATGAAGTTATTCGAGGCGTGCGGAGACGGATTGCAAGGCGCGGAGCTCACAAAAGTTCTGGAAGATCTCGCTAGGTTGAGACAATCAGACGAATGTTTCTGTAAGGCTGAACTCGATTTCGTAAGTGATATTCACGTTGGTTGACTGAACGAACTTTTATTTTCAGACTATTGGAGCAGCAGTCCGACACATTGGAGTTGCCGCTGTCATGAATGTTTTGTCGTTGGATGTTGATCCAGATGCAGCAATTCTGTCAACTGATTTCACTCGCTCCTGGCTGCTTCCAGTGCTTCGTGTCAACATTCACAACGCACCAATATCTCTGTTCATCTCCCACTTCCTTCCAATTGCTATGAAGATCCATCGCCGTCTTCCGACACTTCAGGCACAAGTGCAAAGACTCTACAGTACCTTCCAATTTCAACTATGGGAATTGCTTCCATCATTCTGTGAATCACCATCAGATCTGGAGACTTCGTTTCCTGATATTGCACCAATTCTCGGAGCTGCTCTGAATGAGAGGAAAGATCTGCGAATGACCGTTTTGAACGCGATCAGACGCGCACTTCGTTTTTCGCTCGAGCCAGATGCTCCTGCTGAGCGTATGGAGGTTATGAGTCGGTACGCAAAGAATTTCATGCCGATTTTCTTCAACATGTACACTGGATCTGTTGTGGACGGCGGTTATGACGACAAAGGCGTCCGTCTTTCGGTTCTTGAAGCTATCCGTCTTTATACTGAAGTCACTCCTGCGGAATTGGTGACTCGATACGTGGATAGTGCTATTGCGAAGTCCAAAGACGGAGAGGACACAACTTCGACTACTGTAGCATCACAAAAACAGGCTCGCGTTTTGGATATTCTCTGTGCTCTGGCCAAAGTGGCTGAAAATGATAACATTTCCAAAATTTTGGATACCATTCTGCCATGGTTTAATTCAGTCGATACAAATGGTGTTCAAAAGAAGGCATATAGGATTTTGGAAGAGGTTATTCAAAGAAGATCGAATCAGGAAATCGAGCATCTTCTAGAGACACGCAACGACTATATTGAAAATGCTTTGTTAAAGCCAATCGAATCAATCAGTTTCCCAGCTCGAGCATCTTACGTAAGTTTCTGTTTTATAAAGACAATATTTAACATTTGTTTTTTTTTCAGTGCTCTTGTGTTCATATGATGTTCGATGGATGCAGTACAATGAAAGAAGTCATGGATATGACACAAAAACTCATTCGCAACATCATCATGCTTCTCGACAAAGATAACAATGTCCACACTCGTCAAAACTCGAGCAAATGCATTCAATTCGTTTGTAGTAAAATCCTTGATCTCGTAGAAGACGCGACTGTGGATACTCCATCTGCTGTTCTCGAACCTGTTCTCTCAAAACTGTATGAGCTCACAACTCTCACAGCTACTCAAAAAACAACTGGAGACATCCCTCTGCACGTTGCCAGATCATGTTTGGTTGCTGCTAACATTATTGCTCAAAAACAAATCAAAGTTCTAAACACAGTAGCCACAGCAAAGATGATCTCCTTCGCTTGTTCATGGGTTGGTGAGGGACGTGCAGCAGTCAGAATCTTGGCGATCCGTTTGCTGCGTGTTCTCTGTCAGAAAATCCCTGAAGTCATGCTTCAACAGTTCCGTGAGCAAATTCTTACCACCGTCTTCGAAGGACAACTTACCAGTGATTTGACTATCAAAGTTCGTAAAGCCAATCGATTACTTCTCGAGGTTCTTGTCGAAAAATTCGGTGTCAATGTTCTTCAAAAATACACCGACAAACAAGACTGGATCAAACAAATGAAAAACATTGAGAAGATAAGAAAGCGCAAGCTCCGAAAGGCATCAGGAGAAGGAATGGAGCAAGATGGAAGCGATGATGACGGTGCCAGTGCTATCAGCGGATCAAATGTATCTGGAAGAACTGCTGGAGCCGATACTATTCTCGAGCTTCTCGAAGACTCGGATGCAGAAAATGATAGTGATTCAGAAGAACAATTGATGAAGAAATCTCGCGTTGGAAGTGTCTGGTTGAAAAATGAAGGAGACGGCGATGTTCCTATGGATCTTCTCGATTCATCGCGAATGATGGATCAAATTACTACAATGAATCCAGCTGTTCTTGAGAAACGAAAGAAGAAGGCATTGGAGAAACGCCAAAAAGTAGAAGCAGGATTCCAGTTCTCAAAGGACGGAAAGATGATTGTTCTTGGTGATGATGAAGAGAACGAAGATAAAAAACAAATCGGAAAGAGGAAGATGAGAAGTGGCTTTGATGGTCTTGGTGATGATGAAGACGATGGTCCGACACGAGGAAGCAAGCATGTCAAAGAGAACAGTGACTCCGAGGATGGAATTATGGATGATGACGATGATGACGAGAGAGACGCTAAAACTTATGTCAGTCGAGCACCATCCTATGGTGGAAAGGGTATCTACAGGTTCGTATTGTTCAATTGACTTACAATTAGTTGTGTATTTGGAACTAATTTTTGAAAAAAAAATAATTTTTCAGAGATACTTCCGCGAAATCCCAAGTGGGCAGCTCAGTTGGATCCAAGAAGCAGCAACGTTCGAAGCAAGATCAGAAGCAGAAGCCGAAGCAAAAAGGAGTTCAGCCATATGCATACGTTCCACTTCGAAACAAGACGGCTAAACAGGATGTCCGTCAAATCCTAAAAGCCAAGAGAAAGAGTGGCAAAGGAAAGAAAGTCACATTTTAATCACAAGAAAGTCTAGCTAGAAAAGGATCGGAGTGATTATTATTCTTTGTTTTTTGTTTGCTCTTGTTAGCATTTGTTAAATCTATACAACTTCATAATAACCTGTTACCGTTTTGTTTTGTTAAAAATGAATGTTAAAAATCGAATATACAAATTTACAGAGATTGTCTTGAATAGCAATAAGAACTACAAACAACTACAAGAAAGCGCACGCATTCCATGAGCTCTTGTCCTTCGTATATCTACAGAGCTCAGAGCTATTATAATATCTATACTTCCATAGTAGTTTGGAGCACAAGTTGGTTTCGGTATCAATGATTGATCAGTGACTAAGGATTTCATTATTTCGTAGTTGTCATCCGATTTTTCGTTGCAAGACCCAGAACAGTAGTTCCCCCAAAATCCAGGTGGATACAGTATCCAATCATTCCATCCTGAAAATCAATTAAGTTCATTGCTGAAAATCGGTGTGGTCTGGTCTAATTTGCGCGTTGCGGCTGAAATTCGAGAGTGGGCGGAGCTAAGGCCGATCAGCCGGATTTGTGTTTTAAATAAGTTCAAAATCATGGAAATGGAAAAATTCAAAATTTTAATTTTTTTTTGCAATTTTTTGGTAAAAAAGTTTTAAATCGATGAATAATAAGTCAAAAAACAATTTTTTTACTGAAACTTTCACAAAAATCGCAGAAAATCAATGAATTTTTTAAAATTTCATCTATTTTTAATTTTTTTTAAACAAAAATCAGATGAATTGCAAAAAAAAAATCGCACGAAAACATTGAAACGTATCGAAAAATCGTCAAAATTTATCGGAAAATCAAAAAAATAGCCATGAAAATTACGAAAAATACATGCTCCTTTAAGGATTTCCCTACCGAATGTAAGCTCCGCCCACCCTCAAACTTTCGGCCGCATCGCTCACTGAAATTAGACCAGACTCTCGTCCCAAAGTAATATATCTTACCAATTTCAGTAAAATTAACATAAAACGGAGTGATACAACACCCATCACAATTCGATTTTCCATCAACGAACTGATTTGGTTTGAATACAGTAACCTCGAAATGAGGCGCAGAATTCAGAACTTCTCGAGAATCAAGCGGTTTGTAACTGAACAGATCCTTAATTTCTAACTGGAAAAGCATATATTTAATTTTATTTACCTATGGCTGACTCACTTTGATCATCCTGTTTGGTTGTCTGGATTTGATCCAATTTCGAAATGTATTCCCAATTTCGATATTCTCGTTTTCCACAACTTCTCGAATTTCCATTCGATCGATATATCTCCAATCACCGAAAGCTTCATCGATTTCATAAATTGTTATACTTATATTCGCTTTCTTTGAATTAATAAAAAAGGAAGTTGATATAACTTCATGGTCCAAAGAATTCAGATGATATTGAAAGCAATCCGAAGTAGTTCCATCTGGGGTCATACATGTCCAACCTGGAAAAATTGATCGTAATACTACAGTAACATTCTACAATTCTACATTCTATATCTAGGCGCTGCAATGAAAGGGGGCGGGGCGACCAAATTTTTTTTCCCCTTTTCAGAAGTCCATATTTGAAGTCTTGTACCGGGCGTTAGAGCTTAATTATTTTTAAGGTTAGAACTTGTCCCTATGTAATCGACTGCGAAAAATCGAATGAAACCATCAGTTTTTTGATATTTTCATTATTTTGATTCGAAAAATTCGAAAAATAGGAACTGGACTGACAAATTGGACTAAAAGTATTAGATGGAAGCCCGTGCCACCAGATTTTTTGATGGATTCTGCTGGTAGTTTATGAAATGGGGGATTGGATTTCGAAGTAAAATCAAAATTCTACCGACCCCCTTGGTTCACAATTTTCAGCCAAAGTTCCAGCCAAAATACAAAAAAAAATTTCAGCGATGACCCCAACATTTTTTTTGCATATTTTGATAAAACTAACTAGGGAAGGTTGTAATCGGGGGGTGGAACTTCGGTATGAGACCTATATCATTCGAAAGCTGAGAATGAGACATTTTCAAATCTATATTCAGATTTTGCTAAAGAGCTACAAGTTTCGAGAAAACAAGTTTCAAATTTTGGCTCAAATTTGACCCCTAAGGGCGCCGCGCCTCCCCTCTTTGGATTTGCAAAGATTTGAGTACGGAAATTATATTGAAATGGCTCAAGTAAGTTTATTATCGACATCACAAAGCCAAAAACTTCTTTTTTCAGTTAAATCAACATTCATTTCATAAAGAATATCCATCTTATCTACAACCGGAAACTATGACAAGAGAATTTTCAAAATCGAAAATATGGACAAGCGGAAGAATTCGAATTGAGATTTTTTTTTCATAAATTTTGTCACTTTTTCTTATCTCATAGGTCCCATTATTCTCGCTGATCTCATCGTTTTTTTTTGCTGATCCCATTCATTCATTTGTGTCACACCCCTCATTTTCGTTCCGATTTCCTATTTCTACATTTTAATCAATGTTTTTTTTTCTCATACTTGTTCTGTTTTCTTTTTTAATAAATGTTATTATAAATAAAGTGAATGGCGTTGAAAAGAAAACAAAAATTGAAAAGCGCCCGCTGGTCTGTTCGGAATTAGATCTAATTCGTTCGTAGTTCATTCGGTGTTCGTTCGGAATAGATCAGCTAAATTCTGTATTAGATCATGCCACTTCTATTTACGAACGAACCCAGATCTAATTCCGAATGAAGTCAGATCTAATTCAGAATCGTTTACCTGAGGATAAAGCTTCAAGATCTTGCTAAAAGACTCATTTTATCGTTTCTGTCCGTTAAGAATTCATATTAGCACATTTGAAAAATTTTCGAAAAATAGTTTGAAAATGCCAAGGGGGTAAAGAAAACCCCATGGATATTTTTCTTCAAAAATTGTTTTTCTTGAAATTCAAGAAAACTTCGCCAGATCATAAAGAAACATTTGAAATTGTAACTACAATCAAAAAACCTCCAAGATCTTTCACCAATCATCAAATTTCTTCGTCTCAAAAATCGAAATGAAGTTTGAAAAATGCTTCAAAAAAAGTTTTTCAAAGCATATGACATGAGTATTTCATAGATTTTTAATTAAAAAATGATCCCATGAAGTTTTAAAGTTTTTTTTCAAAAAAAAAAAATTTTCGCAAAAAAATCAGCATGGAGTCCCCCCTTTGCTTTTGAAATTTCTCAGATTTCGAACCTGATTTTCTCGAAACTGGTAGCTCTTTAGCAAAATCTAAATATAGATTTGAAAATGTCTCATTTTCAGCTTTCGAATGATATAGGTCTCATACCGAAGTTCCACCCCCTCCCCCCCCCCCCCCCCGATTACAACCTTCCCTAGTAAGCCTTGTGTATATCTCTGCCAATTTCCAGAAAGAATTGTAACTTTTAAGTAGTTTTAATACCGATCCGAAAATTCATATCATATGAAACTATGTTGAATTCTGAGAATGCCTCATAATTTTTAAACGTCACTCAAAAACTTCTTTCTACAGTACTTCCTACGGAATTCATGACTGAAAAGAAAGCGAAAGTTTTTGAACTTTGCTTTCAAATTTTCGTATCTTTTGTTTCTGTCATCTAACTATTACAGAATAAGATGCAACCTAAAAAGAGGAAAAAAAGATCAAAGACAACATTTGTTATTAGGTCGAAAAGTGAACAGTTTGTAATCAAATGATTGCACCCGGAACAAAAACAAAACAATGATAATAACTGAAAAGACAGACTAGAATGAAATAACAATAATAAGGCAGATACATAGCAGCAATGTATAAAAAATACATTTACTTCCTTGGCCCGGCTCGGATCAACAATTTTATGTCTTGTAACTTTGTTCATGGACAAGATACAGTTTTTCAAATAGTATCAAATTGTAATACTCGTCGAGTTCTATCATATCTATCTTACAAGTATAATTGAAACTGTTTATTTATTTATTGGAATACTGTAGTTTGTATAATGATCTTTCCTCAAAAATGACAATTTTCAGAACTCCGATGAGTATTTCCTTTCTTTTTTTTCGAAATTGAAAAATGAGGGTTACTGTAAATCCTAGATTCATAAAAAAGTTTAAAACTTTGAGGCTCACTGTAGTTTTCGGATTCGGTCTTCGAAATTAAAAAAGAGGAGTACTGTAGTTTTCGGATTCACCTAAACATTTTTTTTCAATGAGGATTTCTGCATTACTCTTGTCCGAACTCAATGCACGTTGAAAGTGGATATCTTGCAGAGATGTCTGGGAGGACTTTTTTGAAAAACGGAATCCGGAATACGGAATGAAACTAATTTTTCGGAATCCCGAATACGGGATCCGGAATTGTGAGGTCTTCAAATGGGCACAAAAGTTCTTGAAATACATATCGTGCTTTATTTTTGCATTGTTATTCGCGGAAGCTCAAAAAAGTCAGAGAATTCTTGCAAATTAACACATATGCTTGAAATCTGGAATAAAAAAATTTCACGGAATTCGGATTACGGAATACGGGATCCGGGATCCGGGCATATCTGATACCTTATTACTTTTTTCCTAAAGACGAAGGAGCGAACTCCCTCATATTTCGAGCATAAGGTAGTTCGTCCTTTCTCCTTGAAGAAAATGTTTATAGGTTTCAGAATTTTTCGAAATGTGAAAAAGATTACTGTAGTTTTCAGATTCATTTTTCAACGTTAAAAAAGAAGATTACTGTAGTTTTCAAATTCAATTTTCAAAATGGAAAGATGTGATTACTCTAGTTTTGAGATTCAATTCCGAAAAAAGAAAAAAAGAGGATTACTGTAGTCTTGCTTGCTTTAATTTCCAAATATCGAGGAAGAAAAAATTACTGTAGTTTCCAGCCAATCAGCAATTTTGTGTGGGCAGTGTTTTTATCATTTTATGATGGAAAGAAACAGAAAAGAAGTATCATCAGAGTTATACTGGAAAGAGATCAGATATTCTTCTAGATGCTTAAATCAATTTAAAATGAAGAAAAACATTTTAAAAACTTTCAGAGTGCTGAAACAATTACTGTCTGCACATCACTTATTACTAAAACAAAAATCAGAATTCAGAAAAAACCAAAGAGAAGAAGGGCTCAACAATATTATGAGAAGAATAGGTTGACGATGTTCAAGTTAATTTTTCGAGAATATAAAACCTAGTAGCCTTATTCAAATGAAGTATATTTTCAGAAGCTACTTCAACAATTGGATAAAGTTATATCCTGAAAAAAAAGAGATGTGAACTACCTTAAGCCCTGTAATAGAGAGGCCCCACACTGTCAAGTTTGAGGTCAAATATCTCAATTCCTATGCAAGATATCGAAAATGTGTCCTGGCATAACAAACCCGGTATGATGATAAACAATTTATTAGTTGACAACTTTTTTTATATCTTCCACAGGAACCGAGATAATTTGGCTAAAATTTAGAAGTGAAGGTTCTATTACAGGTTTTACGGTATTTGAAAAATGAATCCCGAAATAAAGACAAAACCATACTTCTTTGAACAGGTTCAATCACGATTTTCTCCAAAACTCCGCCATAATTTTCGTGTTCTCTCAAGTGATTAAACGCCGATGGTATCCTGGGTCGTCTATAAATATACGGAGGACGAGACGATAAACCCAAGTCATCTAATATTTGTCTCTGTAAAAGGGAAATCGATTTCAGTCTGCGTGTGATTTTTCTCTCGAGACACAATTACCTTTTGTCGTTCAACTGTCATTGCGGTCGACACATTTAAACAGATAACCGTACAGAATAATGGAATTACGAAACGCATAATTTTCAGAAACAAACAAAAACAATTCGGAGAGATACAATGTTCTCGTTATCAACTATTTCATCCTTATCATTAGTTCCCTCTCTCTCACTATTCCATGAACATTTTCCACCTGGGTCCGCCGCCCAAGTACTTCACAAAAGTCCAGAATGAATGCCAGTCTCATCGAGACTCTTACCTTTCAATCAGACAAGAAATTAATGATAAGAGAAACCTTTCAACCCATCTAGTATGGTCACAGTAAGCCAATTTGTGTCAAACGGGCGGTGCTGAAAGAGTTGAAAGGCACGTACTTCAAAGATACCCTTTGATGAGAAATAAGGAACTACTGACAGAGGACGAAAAAACTGAAGATCGATTAATATTTGATTGACACAGTGATGAATTTTCGGAATCAAATAGAGCACATTTTAGACCAAATCACACTCAAACTTTCAACAGAAAAATGGTGTTTGACGTAATTGTAGCTTGATCGAAAATGAGGAAGGGACTTCCTTGAAGGTTCAAAGTTCGATAAATCAGGTCTAATGAACTCTATACTGTATAGGATGAAGTACGATTTATGAGCTCAAATGTGCTCCTTGTCACTGATAAAACGGCAAATAGAGAATTTCGGAAATTTGATAATTTTTGTGTACGATTTTCTCGAAGGGAAATTTAAGAATGAAAGAAATGTGAA